CCCCCGCGTGGCATTGTGGCTTTGCACTTCCCTGGAAAGCAGAACCCTGCGCCGTGGTACTAGTCCCCTGCGCTTGCAGCAGGAAGGGGCGAGGCCAGGAATGGCACCCGACTGCCCCGGCTTTATAAAGCCCCACACAACAGCCCGGGGAGCTGCAGCGCTGACACTCCAAGAGCCGGCATGTGTCCTCTGCCCAGGGCGGCCCTCGGCGTGCTCCTCCTCTGCCTGTGCAGCAGGCTGCCAGCAGGTAAGTGGCAGCCGGGCTCCCCGTGGGCGGGCGGTGCCACTCACCCCCGCTGGCGCTCAGCCCCGCACTCTCCAATGTCCCTTTTCCCGCGCAGCCTGGGCCGCCCCGTCTCACCACGTGCCCACCAGGTGCCTCTGCTTGAAGTTCCAAGAGAGGGTGCACCCCAAAGCCATCGTCAAATTCCAGGTCACGGAGAAGGGAGCCCACTGCCACCGCCATGAGATCATGTGAGTAGCACCGGGGGAGGGGACAGGGAGGGACCCCGCCACCCCAGCCCCGCGACTGCTCTCGGCCCCTCCTGGTGGGCGGGCGTCAGAACCCGCATGGCCGTGACCACCCTGGCGCCAGCCTCTCTGTTAGCAGCGGCAGCTTCCCAGCTGTGTTACCCTCTGGCATTGCTGAGCAGAGCTGTCTGGCACTGCCCGGCCCTGCCTCAGTTTCCCCAGGAGAGGCAATGCCGAGCAGGTTCCCTGGGTCCTGGCACCACCACCTTCAGACTCCTGGGGTGGACCGAGATCTCTTCCCGGCGGAGGTCCGGAGCCTTGCCGAGGACTGGCCCGTGGCTTGTGGCCTGACCCGCTCTCTCAGTTGCCAACTCCCCCCAGTGCCACGGGTCCATCCACAAACACCACTGGGCTTGGCTGATTCCGGGCACGACCCTCCGCGTGCTGCAGCACGTCCCAGTGCAAATGCCTCCTGGTGCCCTCAGGCAGGGAACCATCCTCCATGCCACGCTCCCGCGGTCCCAGGGGCTGGTCTGTGCCCAGCATGTCCCCCTTCCCCTGGGAGCAACCCCTGCCGTGCGCTGGGCCCCGGCCACCCCTCAGCCCCACAAGGGCAGGCCATGCAAGCGCGGGAGGCAGAACTCTGAGGGAGCGTGTTCAGACACACGCAGGGAACCGCGTCCCCAGGAGAGCAGAGAGAGGCGCTTTCTCCCAGAAAGGACAATGCAGTGTGGGATCTGCAGCTCTCCTGGTACAAACGAGTCAGTTTTGGTATTTCCAGCCCTCTCAGAAGCGGAGGCCCTAGAACTTAGCTTTATTAGCTTGTGCATAAACCTGGAACGGGAGACAACCCCTCCCTCCACCTCCCGTACAGCTCCAGGCGCAGTGTTAACCCTCTGCACCCACTGGGCAGCAATGCACCGTATGGAGGGAAACTGAGGCAGGACATTCCCACTTCGTCACACACACCTCTGGGTGAAATGCAGCCTCTGTGTGTGGAGGCTCCTGCAAGCTGCACCGCAGCCTGGCCAGCCCGCTGGAGTGGATCTGGCATCCCACCCTCGGCCCGGGCTCCGGTTAATGACAAGGCTGAGGAGGCAAGAATCCTAGGGCATTTCTCATCCCTACCTAGCAGACTCAGCTCCCCCGAGCCAGCTCCTGAGGCGCCGTCCCTGCCCTGCACGCCTTGCTCACGCTTCTGCCCTGTCCATTCCCTCTCACAAGTCACCAGTGAGCCCATCACCGCAGCATCGGGGCGCCAAAGCCCGACGCCCCCCATGTTCCTCCAGAGCGGGACGTCAGGCAACAAGCCCCATTCTGTCCATACTTACCTGGTGTCAATCAGGAGTGACTCCCCAGATCCGAATCAGGCCCCTGGCTCCAGCGCAGGTCCGGGGGCACCGGCGGGGCATTGGGCCCTGCCGGGGAACCAAACGCAGCCGCTTGTCTTCCAGATTAACCATCAAGATCAAGGGAGGCCAGCAGGAAATGTGCCTCGACGCGTCCAAGAGGCAAGGGGAGAAAATCCTCCGGTGCTGGGAGAGGTCAGTGCTGGGTGCAACGGGCCGCGGTCCCCCCGGCCGGCCCTTGGCTGCGCTCGGCCTGACTGCGCGGC